AATCCACTTTCTATCATATTCAATTCTCACAAAAACTTTGTCAGAAAGAGGTTACAATCTTCTTTTAAACATGAACAACAAGGCCCAACAGGTTAAAATCTTTGTCCAGACCAGAACCACATCTCCAATAGCTATGTTAAAAGAGTAAAATTAATTGTAATAATATCTTTTATTTAATTTTGCTTATCCAAAATATTCTCATTTGAATAAGTACTCAATATAAAAATTACCAGTCATTTTGCATTTTTCCATACTAAATACTTCAAATATTGTGTGTATTTTACATTTATAGCACATTTCAATTTCAGTTAAACATTTTAAACTTAGTGGTCACATGAGCTAATAGCTACTATATTGGACAGTGTGTTTCTAAAGCGTAAATCATGACATGAGATTCTTCTACCCAACTATGCAGTGTCTTCTCACAGCAATCAACATAAAAGCCAAACTTTTTACCATGGCTTTTGCAACCCTACATGAGCTGGACCTTGGCTACTCCTCAACTTTATACCCTCCATTCACTGTGTTCCAGTTGCAATGACCTCATACTGTTCTTTGCACATGAAAACCTGTTCTCACCTCAGGGATTTGCGTTGATATTCCTTTGCTTAGAACATTATCTCTACAGATTACCTCCAGTTCAGTAATCAGGATTTAGCTACATTTTAACTTCCTTCAAGAGTCCTCCACCAACTCTAAAGCTACAGTTATGGCTGTGCCCCAGCCCCTCTACCAAGTCATCATCTGCTATAGGGCCCTGTTTTATTTTTCTTACAGCACTTACTATTCTCTTAAATTACCTTATGTGCTTGAGTGTCCATCTCTTTTACTGGAAGGTAAGCTTCTGGAGGTGAAGGACTCCTTCTATCTTGTTCAGAGCAATATTCCTAGAACTAGAACAGCACCCTGTATGCATTAAATGTTGAAGAAATATTTGTTACCGAATTAATGCCTGATTTAATTAATCCCATAGGTCCCAGTCAGATTTTACAGTTGTGAGGTGCATTTTGCCCTAAGTCACACTGCTTGGATTTGAAATGCTACTTTTACTATTGCATCCTTTATGGAAAATTCAACAGCCCCTTGGCTGAGTTGTCTGTTTGTTCATTTCCAGAAATTGAGAATTTTCAGAGGAGAGCCTTGATGGTCTGAGTGTTCTCCAAGCCATTTTTTTTTCTTGGCACATGTAGTCAGGGTTTATCAAGAAAAAGATTTAATACGGACACATAATTTATAGGATTATTTTTCTAATATTCACCTCAAGAGTCAAATGCAAAAGAAGTCAAATGCAGGAAATCTGTCCACACACTAAAGACCCAAAGAATGCAACTGAGGGCCTGGATCCCATGGCAATGTCCTGCATGAGTCCAGCTGAAGACCTAGAGCCCATGGCAATGTCTTCCACCTCCACAACTCCAAGAGAAGCGTAGAGCCCACAGTGTCTCATACAAGTCTGTATCAAGGAGCTGCACTGGGAAGGCCCAAGGTCAGTGGTAGAAGCTAGAAAGTCTATGCCAGTGGGATGAAGGATCTGTGCCAACAGGCTGAGGGTTCTGCACTGCAGCCAGGAAGCGACACTTAAGGTAAGGACTAGAGCTTCCCCCCAAAGAATCGCAGTGACAGTGAGGACCCAAGTTCCTTTGATGAAGAGAACAGCCAATTTCATAGCAGGAAAGCCACCCTGACAAGCTTCTCCAGGAGAATCAACAACACACCATCTTCTCCTTCTGTTCTCTTTTTATGCTGTTGGCAGGAATCCTCAGGTGGGCCTTGCACCTGCAGCACCACATTGATTCCTTTCAGCTGGGTGTTGCAAGTTGACCATTACTTAATCTACCACAGGTGATCTACTCACCTTCCTTTTCCCTCACTTAACTTCCCAAAACATCTACAAGGTGACACAAAACAGTGCATATCCTTTGGTTGTCCTCAGGATTCCACTGCCTATGTGAGCCACTTCTACCTCTTCTGTCTCAGTCCAATTTGGGCTTTTGGCTTCTTCCTGTTTTTCCTCTGCTCACCTCAGTCCATCCTTTCCCATTCATGTTCTGTCTTGTGAAGTCACTCAGGGTTTAAGATGCTAGGCTTCCTTGGGGGCTGGGGATTTAGCTCAGCAGCAAAGTGCCTGCCTGGCAAGCGCAAGGTCGTGAATTCGGTTCCTGGTACCGGAGAAAAACAAAAAAACAAACAAACAAAAAAAGATGCTAGGCTTCCTATCCATATGTCCAGGTCCATGTCAGGTAATAAATCTTCTTACCTATATGCTTTTCTCATTGAGAGTTACTCTTCTTGAGCTTCTATTTGTAATTGGTAAAATAGATATTATTACTTCCCTGCATAGTGTTACTATGAGTATTAAATGAGCTATTACATGAAAATTATTTTGAAATACACTGACCCAAAGTTAAGCGCATAAGGCAAATTAATTGTAATAGCTCTCACTTTCTATCTTTCTGTCTATATTCCGCCCTTGCTCCTAACTCCACTTTTCCATCCCCTTTCCTCTTGGTGACGATGATGTAGGATAAAGATGTCAAAATTATAGCTGCAGGCATGACAAGAACCCTAATTTGTCCCAGTGGGATGTGTAATTTTTGGAAGAAAAGATCACTGGTTTGGATTCCAACTGTTATTTACTTACTGTTTGACCTTGGGCAAATTATTTTGCCCCTCTGAACCTTGGGTGTTTTGTCTCTTAAATGGAAATAATAATATATATCTTCCTCCAAAAGCCACTGTGTGATGCAACACATGCACACAGACACACACAGACACACACACAGATACCCATCCATAGATGCACGTGTAGAGTGCTTGATAGACTATCAATATCCATTCTATCTTCTTTTAAAAATTACCTAACAAAGAAGGAACACTATTTTTAAGATTTACTCTAATTTAATCTATAGGGAAAGACACTTTTCCTTTCTTGGGAGAAATTTGAGAGAATTTACAAAAGCACGAGAGTTAATTGAGACCCCTGTGTCCATGAGATGCAAAAGCGTTTTCAGGGAGGATGCTAAACCTTGGAAACTCATCCTGTTTCAAGTCTCTGCAGCCCCCTAGTGGCCACTGATTTCTACAGATGATTCACGGTCATTGACAAATTACAATGAGTCAATTTGCCTTTGAACAAGATCTACACAGAGAAATGCGGATAACGTGGTGAGTGAAAGGGTTGGCATTTTAGCCTTTTTCACACTTTACATAGAAAGTTATTTTTTATCAGTGTTCATGCCAACAAAATCTGACAAAAATTAAAAAAATGTGCACATATGAGGAAATTATTAACCTACAAACTCTTCTTTCGTTTTTCTTGTTGTCCCTTTCTCCTGTCCTCCACCAAGAAAGGAGCATGTTTTCTTCTCTTTGGGTCAGATCAATCTTTGCCCTTACACTTGTAAAGTCAGTGTATCTTCTCTGAATTCCAGGCAGAGGCCAGATGCTTGTCAAACTGTGAGTTGCAAATAGTGTGGTAAACATAAAGCCACAGCAAGCCATTCTGAGAAGTGGTATTTTTCATTTTTGGGTCTTCCACTAGCCAAAGGGGCTGCCACAGTGCTGGAAAGAGCCCGACCCCTTGAAGAGCAGAGATTCCAGAAGCTCCACTTCCTGTGGGGCAGTGAGTGCATCACTTAGTGGGGAATATTTCACCACACACTATGCCTGATGCTGAGCATGCACCTCTGTGATCTGTTGGGCTGCGAGCTCCGTGGAGGATCTTGCCTTATTCTTAGCTCCTAGAGTTAGCACAAGGTCTGATAATCAACCTTTGTGAAAAAGGAACTGCAGGATTTGTGTGCACAAATGACTAGTTTTTTCTGTGAACCCAGTGAGCTGCTTGCTATAAACACAGCCAATAAATGAATTCCATGTTGGCGGCTCTCTAGGGACAAAAGGAAAGGAAGACCAGACGTAGAGCCCTCACTTTACAAGTGAGGGGAGGGAAAGCCCGGGCATATGAACTGTCACTCCCAAGACAGTGAGCAATAGTGCCTCATCATGCCATCCGGCTAAGTCACCTCTGTACCTCCCTGACCGTTAATGGAGAGGTGTGGGTAGAGCAGTCGTGGGGAGCACATGAGTAAGGGCCCTGAGTCACATGATGACTGTATGACCCAGGGAATAACAAACTGTCTGCAACTCAGTTTCCTCATCTGTAAAGCTGGAATTAAAAATGTTTACAATGGGCTAGGGTTGTGTGGCTCAATGAATGTTTGTGTAGCACACAGGAGACGGTGGGCTCAATCCTCAGCCCCATACACTTACCTTCCAGACCCTACAGGAGGTGGCACAAGTTCAGACACAATTCTGAAAAACGAGGTGACCGACCTCTGTCGGAAATGTTATTTTTTGTAGCTGAAGAATTACTCTGCGAGACCTCGGCCAATCCCTGCCTCTCTCGCCAACTTTTCCTGGTGTGTGGAAGGAGGGATCAAAAGGTTTCCAGAAATGCGAGTAAATACCGGGAGTCAGGAGATTCCGTTTCAGGGCACCGATACAAGCCGTTCTTGGATTGACAATGTGGCGCTGCCACCCTTGCCCCTCCTTTCTTTGCCTTGTCTCTTTTTATTCTGGAACCCGATATTTAAAAATCAGAGCAATTTCATCTGCTAAACGAATAATTAGGGTGAGTGCTTGATTGCAAAGCCCTCCTCCAGTTCTCCCAGTTGTTCAAAACCCTCTTCTGTTCACACGGCAGCTTAAATAGGGCAAAGAATCTGGAGGAAGGGGAAGAAGGAAAGGGACGTACCGAGGGAGGGCGGGGCGGGCTCCGTGCTTTTCTCAATGAATACCAAAGCCTCTGCAGATTTGCATAGGAGCCGACCGCGCCGCGTCATTGGTTGACAGGCGCAGGCGGGGCGGGGCGGGCGTGCTTGGGTCCTGCAGCGGCCGGGAGTTGGCGCGCGAGCCCCGCCTCCACTGCGGCCCCGCCCCCTCCCGGCGCGCGCTCGCGGCTCCGCCAGCTGCAAGTGGCGGGCGCCCAGGCAGATGCGATCCAGCGGCTCCCCGGGCGGCAGCGGCGGTAGCAGCTGGCAACCTCCTCTGCCGCTATCCCGGGGGTCTCGGGGCACCGAGACATCTTCGCACCGCCTTCTGGCCAACAACCCGAAGCCACCCGCGCAGAGATAGGTGAGGAGAGGGCAAGATTCCGGCTTCCCTGCCCTGAATGCTTTCACTCCGCCGCTGCCGCCGGGGCGGCCCTGACGCCTGCGAGAGAACTCCTAGGAGCCCAGACGCGGGCGACCGCAAGGACGCTGCAAACTTGCGCGCCGGCGGCTGCCAGAGCGGAGGCTGTCAGAGCCTCCGCTCCGCAGGACCGGGGCTCGCATTCACGCCCAGAAGTTCAGAGGGCAGTGCAGTCCCAAGACTTCCTGCAGAGGAGGGCGCTTGAGGGGGCGCTAGAAAGCAAGCCCCTCCCGCGATTCTAGCTCCAGACCCGGGGAGAGGAGATCAGAGGAGCCGAAAGCAACCGCGGGAGGTGGCCAGGGCAGGGGGCACCTGCTTAGAGCCACGGCTCCCAGCCTGGAAAGTTGCGGAGGATTGGAGACGGCCCGGAGAACCGACAGACCCTAGCTCTGGCCGCGGGGGGCAGGAGGGGACGGCACCCAATTGCCACCTCCTTTTTAGCATAGTAGTTTCTCGTTCGCCAGCGCAGCGAGCTACAAACGGGGGCGCGGCACTCGGCAGGGCGAGCTAGAGGCACAGGGTCCAGCTGTTGAGCCCAGAGAGCTTCAGGGTCTCTGGACTCACGCCTGGCTTGCAGCTCCGTCTCATTCAGACCGCAGCTAGGGTAAATCTAGGGAATCAAGTGCACGCGCGGTGCCCCAGAGACAGGTGGAAGGAGCCCTTCAGGACCAAGGACCGTTTGGAGCCCCTTCCTGTTTGGGGGAAAGCTAAGGGCGAGGCTGGGCCCGGGAGAGTTGGAGATTAGTACCGACAGCCCTCTCCTTGCGGGATGGCAGCCTTCGGGCTCCTGTGGCTCCTGCCACTACTGTCAGCAATAGCCTCGGGCTCCGCGGTCGCGCCTGGCCATCGCGCGGGGTCACCGGTCATAGGGCCGCCTCTGCAGCCCCGGGAGCCGCTCAGCTACTCGCGCCTGCAGAGGAAGAGTCTGGCGGTAGACTTCGTGGTGCCCTCGCTCTTCCGCGTCTACGCCCGCGACCTGCTGCTGCCGCCGCCATCCCTTTCGGAGCCGAGGGCCGGCCGGCCAGAGGCGCGTGGCTGGCTGGCCCTCGACTGCGCACCGCTGCTCAGGCTGCTGGGGCCGCCCCCTGGGGTCTCCTGGACAGCAGGCGACACTTCGCCGTCTCCTGGCACAGTACCGACGCTGTCCAGGGTGCTGAAGGGCGGCTCGGTGCGCAAGCTCCGGCGCGCCAAGCAGCTGGTGCTGGAGCTGGGCGAGGAGGCGATCCTTGAGGGCTGCGTTGGGCCCCCAGAGGAGGCAGCTGTGGGACTGCTCCAGTTCAACCTCACCGAGCTGTTCAGCTGGTGGATTCGCCACGGCGAAGGACGGCTGAGAATCCGCCTGATGCCCGAGAAGAAGGCATCGGAAGTGGGGAGAGAGGGAAGGCTGTCCGCCGCAATCCGCGCCTCTCAGCCCCGCCTTCTCTTCCAGATCTACGGGACCGGTGAGCAGCTCCCGCTACAGCGTGTTGTGATTTGCATTTTTACTTACACGGATTAACAACCACTGTTAACCAGTCCCTTCTCTTACGCTCCTTTCCAAAACCTCAGCTTCTTAATCCCGTTTCTTCATTCCTAAAGTTAGACCGTTTCAATATTTCGTCCCTGAGCGCCGTCACTCCCCAAGGGCCTTCTTTTCTTTTTAGCAACCAACTTGGGAGAAAAGTTTCCTACTTTTGGCAGAATTTCTTCTTTTACTGACTTACAAAGGATCCAAACCGTAATTGTATTCCTTCCTTCCTGGCCCCTAGAATGGTTCAAATGCTCCTGTTACTTTTAAGTTCCAACTTAGTACAGTGCTAGGTAAAACTACTTTCCCTCCTCCCTCTCCCTTCTCCTCCTCCTGGCCACCACATATTGGGATAATGTAGTATAATTTCCCAGGGAATATAGAATTCCTCTTTATATTGATTTCCCCCCCCCCCCATTGCAGCTCCTTCCCAAATGCTGGGCTGCCCAGGAAGTGCCTCTTGTTTTGTTGATCCATTCTGCGACCCTCTCCCACCTCCTGTCTTCTTTGCACTCAGATTCTCATTCTCCTCCGATGTCCTGGGAGAGCCCCAGAGGACTTACAGAGCAGGGGACCGGAAGAGGTATGGTGAGAAGGAAGGAAGTTGTGAAGATTGTCTCGCTTTGGGGAAGGCACTGTGAAAACAGGGAGAAACAATAATTGGCTTTTCTGGTTTTCTTTCCCTTCTCTCCTCCTCCTTTTGCCTTCTCTTCTCAGCTTGAATGTCTACAACAGCAGCTCTTTGTGATAATCTCTAGCAGACCTGTTTCACTGCAGATCTCTCTGCTGGAGATGCCTGAAATGAGGTTTCTGTTTCATTTACTCCCTCATGTCTTGCCACATTCACTGAGTTGGGGACACTTATTTCTAACTCTTCCCAGAGTCTCCTTTCACTGGAAAACAGGGTGGTTTTCAATGGATGTTTCTCTTGTAAGACTGCTGGGGAAGGACTCGTGAATAAAACATACAATGTAAATGAATGAGAGAAGCCCGTAAGAGAAATCATGTTTTTTAAAAAGCCTACAGTAATTCCATTGAGCAAACCCGGCTTCTTTTCTATCATTCTCATCATCAGAAATAAATGAAATTCTTATGCTCCACTGGTTACTAATGTCTAATATTAATTGGATGGCAAGCATTGAAAAATGTCCATTGTGGAGCTACAAGTATCTCCCATGCTTGTTCCAACACGTACGTACTCCCACACATATTCAAGACTCCTGTGCAGCAGAAATAGCGAGAAGTGGATGTTCCCCAGTCACCGCACAGAAAATATGCTAGTGTGTAGTCGGCAAGGCAAACAGTGCAGCTGAACATTTCAGCACTGGCATTAGTGGCATTGGCACTTAGAATGACCCCTTGTGATCACGCTGGAATATATAAAGCTTGTGCTAAAGGATAGGGTCTGATGAGTTTGATAGTGCCTTCAGTGAACATAGGTGGGAGCCTGATGATTGTTGTCCTAAAAAGGATAGTTTTGTAAAGAACAACTGGGTTTTGATATCATTGTGGCTTCTGTGGTTTATGCACGAAGCATTCTTTTAGTACCCAACATTTTTGTAATAAATATAAAAATCACTTCTCTGCAAATTCAGATTTTCTTCCACTTTTATGTCTTTGAGCACTTCTGGGGTTACCCATCACCTTTTGTTAAATGACCATAGGACCCAACACTATCAGCAGTTGTCACATGCTGGTGACAGACAAAAGGGGTCTTCTTTTCTGTATCCCCAAACTTGCCAGTTATGAGCAAGCAGGCTACAAGAAGCTACCAGTCACAAGCATAATGCATTTGAAGAGTATAGCATTACATTCAAGTTCTCCATGGGGACTGGAAGCTGCTGAGTGGGGGAGCTTCATGTAGAAAGGAGTGTCCTCCAAGAGCTGCTGTGCTACTGGCTATAGGGGAATCATGAACATTCCAAGTCCTCCTTAGTGGCACAGTCCATTGGCAGTTGGACCATGCTCTTATGCTTCATTTGACACATCTAGCAATGCTGTCTTCAGAAAGAGCCAGAATTCTCACATTAAAAGGCCAGAAATTTTGGCCAAGCATTTTTCAACAGGATTGGGATCAAATGATTATTGATGGGATCAAATAAGACACTAAGTGTAACTGAATGAGCTCCCCATGACCTCCAGAGAGACAGACAGCTTATTGAAAAGCACTTTAGGCCTTGTGGCAATCACACTTGGAACAGGCTGGATCCTCCTGCCTCTGAGGACATATGCTATCTGCAGTTAGGCAGCTGACCTTGTAGGGCTAGGCTTTTGCCCTACAAATGCATTCCAGCCTTATTCAGATACAGTCTCCATTGCAGAACATCCCACGGAGCTGACATATCCTACTACAGTATGTTCCATGTTTGGGGCAACATATATCATTGTTATTTCATTCATTTTCTTCTATGAAAACTCAAGCTTAAATTCTGTCCCTTGGATTGATTTTGCTATTTATCATCTTTGGGGAGATTGGGTTATTCTCTTTACAGTGGTTCTAATTTATAGATAAGGTATAAAACTCTTCTATGGCGTAGGATCTTCAATATACAGAACAAAAGTAGACAAAACTCAGCTATTTCTTTTCGCTTCTGCCCAAGGGACTGGCAGTCTAATCTAGACGACAACAATCATGCTGATGGGGCTATTTGTGGGGAACAAAGACGGGGATGGTTGTTCTGCCATCTCTTGTAGAGAGGAGCCTACAGCAGCCCATTGGTCTCAGACTGAAATAGCTTCCTAATGCGGAGTGGGCCCATGAGTGAGGGTATGGCAAAAGTGGAACAGCACCCAGTTAGAACAAAGGAAAACCATGTATTGCTTGTGGCACTGGGCTATGTGAAAGGACAAAAGAATACCTAAAATGCCTTATATTGAATGACATGCATATAGTTTTACTGTTCAGTTTGCTGTGAATTGATAAATAGGATAAGCACTTCAAAGTAGGCAGCAGTTCCCTGAGCACCTATTCATAGAGAAGGGATAGAGGCAGTTGCTGGGAATGTATGGATGGTGATGCACCAGGTTGGTGCAGTCCACATCATATAAGAGATGTCTGCCTGGAGGCTCGCACATTTCCCATTCCTCTGGTTTATATCCTGGATTGATGTTTTGAAATCTGCTTCTGCCATCCCCAGGCAGAGGTCTAGAGAATGTTGTGGGGTAGGAGGGCCTGTTTCCTGTAAGCACTCACTCCCCACCACAGGAAAGGGGGTACATGACTTGGGATTTTACTTACATGAGAGGTCTGAGCAACATAGAGTAGATGTATGCAATGCAATATACAGGAAGCTTGACCTCACGTATCTGTCAGTCCCTTCTCATTTCATTTCTAGAGAGGGCAGAGAAAGTAAGGGAAGATATAGAGGAAATTGGAACTCCCAGAAGGGATATCAGTTATTGGAGGTGAATTGGGAGAATTGGAACTAATCCAAAGAAGAGCAGAGAGCTGATTTAAGAGTTGAAGGGACTGATTTATGATGAAAGATGAAAAGAATTTTATATATATGGCTAAGCTAAGTGGTGATGAAGGGAAAGCCATGGCAATAATCTACAAATCTCTGAGGAGGGAGACTGGCAGTGAAGGAGAGGAGTTTTTTAGTGTGGCCCATTGACGTAATAAGATGATACTTGCAAAAGGAAACTTCAGGTTAGATATCAAGGAAGTGTATTTTCTGAAACTGATACTCCTCTGAGTATGGGATGGAATTCTAAGGGAGCAGGGAGGCAGGTGAGATGTGGGTCAGACAAGCCAGATCATTCATAATTAAAATGTTCTATGTTTTCAAATGCCAACAAGCCATGACAAGCAGGAGAGCAGGGGTGGGAATGGAGGAGGAATCAGGATCTTTCTGGATATAATTTGTAAGTCTTTGAGCACTGGTGCTTTTTTCCTGGGGAAAAGGAGAGAGTTGCATATGTATCTTTGAAGTTGGTGGGAAACACAAGAATATTGCTGGTAGCTAGGCATAGTAGTAAGCAGCTATAATCCAGGATTCTGGGACACTGAGGCAGGAGGACTGCAAGTTTGAGCCCACCCTGGGCAATTTAGTGACATAGTAAGATCTTGCCTCAAAATAAAAAAAAAATGAAAAGGGCTGGGATGTAGCTCGGTGCAAAGACCCTGGGTTAAATGTCCAGTACTCCCTCCAAATTAAAAGAATATTGTTAGTAAAAATATTTTAAAATTACTGAATTTATCCTTCCTTACCTTCAGATTAAACACAGAGATTTTCTCTGGAGTAGGAACTCTATGTCGTGTGTGTGTGTGTGTGTGTGTGTGTGTGTGAGGGTTCACTGAGCTGAGAATGAGGTGTCTAAGATACATCTATAGATGGGGGAGGTGAGAGTCATTGGGCAGAACAGAAGATCTCTCTTATGTTAAGAAGATGAGGTCACTTTTAGACTTGGTAGACCCTACTGACTACTTGAAACTTCTTTGAAATGTTGAGCATATATATGGCTATTAGAAAGATGAATTTCATCCACATCCAATTTGACATTTCACAAGTTTATAGAAGAGAAAAAAGATCTATGACGGGAATATGTGGCCAGGTCAGGAGGAGAATGTTGTCATTAATAAAAATGAATATCTTCATAAGGAAGTTGGTCTGCTGAGGGTCAGGAGGGACTGGCCCAAGGGTGGAAGAAGAGAGGGAAGCTTGGGTCAACGGAAGCTGCAGCCTGCTAGCCTTCACTTCGTGGGAATGTGGCCAACCTGACCCTTAAATGACACTTTGCCTTCTTCTATAACCATTATTAATGTCCTGTTACAAATGTAAGGACTTTTACAATTTATAAAACACTTTCACATTTATTATTTTTATTAATCCTAAACAGGCAGGGCAAGTTTCTGCTTTGCTTTATAAGTGGAGTCATTGGAATCCAGCTGTTTGAAAACACTTCTTCCAAGGTCATGGGGGTACAAAGCACTAA